AATTGGTAAACGGTAATTTACGTCAATGTTTACGTTCTCAAGATTCTTCGTGAGAAAATATGAACAAAGACTGATTCAAAACCGACCACAGCAGACTTTGTGTAGGCGGATGCAGTTAACATATAGATGATCTGACATTCAAGAAACAGTCACAAAGAGATGACAGATTGACTTTACGTGAGAAACAACCAATCGGAAGACTGTGTTTGTTTGCTTAACTAATCTATAATAATGTACATGAAAATATATAAATATGCTTTGATTTCCTTAATAAACGATCTGTTGCCTGGTCCTTGTCTTCTGTTGTTACAAGATGAATATTGGTGGGTCGGTTGTCTCATGGACTACCTGGAAGAAATGGAATTCAGCTCCAATGCCAATAGTGTTCGACCACCCTGACAAAGATTGGCATCAAGAGTACAACAGAGTTGTGTCATAGGGGCCTGGGTGTCTAAACTGTCCGGCCTTTCTTTACACTGATGACTTAAAGATTTGGAGGGCGGTAAAGTGCTTGGGAGACTCAGACAGGCTGTGTGCGGACCCGAAAATTCTGGAAGACTGAGCACTAACGAATGGTATGACTTTCAACCCGAGAAAATGTAATGTAGCGCAACTGCGTATCCAGATGCCACGGAGTGCAACTGAGTCCTTGTGAAGCGATAACTTGTCTTTTTTGGCGTCAAAGTGCGACATAGGTCTGGTTCTAACGGAAAAGGTGGACACAAGCGTGAATAACATGGGGACATAGCGAGGGCATATGCACTTATACATCTGGATGTGTTCACTGCCGAGCTTTTACTAAAATTGTATTATGTATACGCACAACTTCTCCTTTGAAGTGCACAATATCATTGCATCCCCCATTACTCAGAAAGGTCCCAAACGTTTCGGAAAGAGTTCAAAGTCGGGTGCGTAAAGGGGTGATGGATTTCCGGAATAAGCCGTATAATGAGAGGCTGAATAAATTAGGTTTTACTACACTTAGCTATCGCCGGCTTAGCGACCTAATTGCTGCTAACATGACTACAAATGACCAGAATCATCCAAACAAAGATGTTCCACCATTAAGTGAGTATAGGCTTTTAGAGTCTCAGGATGTTGACGTTAGCGGATAGTATAATAATAGTACGAAGTATACCAACGCAAAATCTAATACCCGCAACGTCTATAGTATTCGTTCCGCGTAGACCAAAGGCAAAGCAAAACACCAGGAATGATCGTTGAAATTACGAATCATATTCCGAGGCCAAATCAGAGTGTGAGGTTGTTGCCTAAATAGCTAAAAATCGTGTACGAATGAACGAACGTAACACGACGGCCTGCCAAATGGCGTGGACGCGTGACTGTAAGCCTTCAGTTAAACAAATTGACCTAAACAGTGAGGGTCAGTATCCAATGTTCAGTGATTAGTGCTGTGGTTAATAATTCTGGGGAATCCCCTACCGCTACAGGCTTCCTCGCGGCAATCCATTAAGGGTAGTACATCGGAGAGCAAAGACTCGGGTGTACTCCCATTACTGTTTTCGAGTTTGACGCCCTTACAGTTCTTTGACAGAATGCAACTGCACCATCCATGGAAACCTTTGTAGGCAATGCAGATGGGGATTCAGCGACTGAGGGACTGCATCCAAATGGCCTATCCCACACACACACTATTTGTGGTGACACATCTAATTTCTTCGTTTACTGCTGCACATTCTCCCTTGACTCACACTTCTGACTACGCTGTCCATTCACTAGCTGAGTTTACATATATACGCACTCCCAAAAAGTGTGTTGCATCGCCCAGTTTACCTGACTATGTTTGCTTTGGTTTCCACACGAGTAATGTTCATTACATCACGCATATATATGTATACATATGCATGCCACTGGAGGGCTTGAGAATGATATCGATGGGGAGAGTAACTCTTCTCTGAATATCTCTTGCTTTTCCGAAAGCAGGGGTATAATAAAAGATACAAACAACTTATGCATGTGAAATACTGGGTAGCAATCTCGTGTCTCTTTTACGCTGAGCTTTCGGTGGTCATTATAATGCCGTCCATCCATGCTAGTGTCCTTCATTACTAAGTGAAAAGTAGAAACCAGTGGGTTGTCAGATGGTTTGATGATCCTTCTTTCCTTCACTCTTCCTTCCATTTTTCTAGAGATAAATACTATCGCTTAGCGGACACTGATGAGACAGTCACTGTTGTTGCAAGAAGTTACGCGTCAAACTTACATAAGGTATAATGGAGGTTGGTTTGTAGATGTTCGGAAACACCTGAGTAATGAACGTATGAGTGAGATTATCAGCGTAGCGGGTGCAATGGTAGAAGACAAGAGACTTGGTAAATAAGTGTTTATTTGGAATTTGGTATCTATATATGGCGAAATTAGGTACATCTTATCGTCGTTTGCACAGATCTACCGTGTTGTGCTACTCCTGCTATCCGTATTATGTTTCTTTGTCTTCTTCTTGCGTCTCCCATGTTTTACCGCAACGCTGGTCCATTTCCTGTCTTTGACGACAAATCGATCTCTCCGCTATTTGATGCTTTCATACCAATTAACGTTCCTCTATATACTACTGATAAATCTTTTCAGTAGCACACGGCACACGGGTACATCTGGCGGACAGGGAGACACAAAGTCTTGTAGTAGACTAGAATAACTTGCCCCTACCTAATTCAACCAGAAACTGACACTACGCTTAGGGCCCCATATCAGTAATATCAGTGTGATATTGCAAACCTAACAAATTGAACGGCGAAATTCATTGTCTAACAAAAGGGGCATGTTACCGTAAGACAGAACAGGTAAACCATCTGCGAATATATGAATGTTAGCCTCATTTACTCCTGAGTGCTGGGTGAGATGACGCTGCCTCTCTCTCGGTTATCCCCCATAAAATGTACTGCAGAATAAATATCTGCTATGTGGAACAGGCTATATGGTCCACTGGCGATGTCAGATGCTGTCACCAGTTGATGTGCGCAGTAAACTGTTGTTTAGCTCCAAATGTCCAAAACCAGGCATATATTTTGGCGTCGAAACTACAATATGCATTATTATTATTATTAGTATAAATCGGACAGGGACTATCATTGCATGTAATGGCAATTTAGAATGCTAGATCAATATTTATGTGTGTGTACGAAATGGATAGTTACAATTGGAGAGAGGTATGTGGATTTAGTCCTCCATGTTCTTCTGTATACAGTATGGCTGTCGGAGCTACTTCATTGAAACCTGCAAGCTTCATCAAAGGGGAATTTCGGAACGGTGCAGGAATCCTTTACATAACTCGTGGTAATCGCAAGTATTGTAACGGCAGGAGGCAAGATACGGAAGCAAAGGCATATTTTCAATTGATCAAACCACTATGCATATATATAGTTTATATTCTTCAGCCAATCACTCAGTGTGTGGTTTTAGTATTCAGTAACGGCATGAAATAGAATGTTCAAACACACATGTAGTATTGTGTTGCTGGTGCAGTATTGAAATGTGGGATAATGTGAGAATAATATTCCGTTGGAACACATTGTCTGTATCACACCACCACACTATCACCGATCTTGGAGTCACTCGACAGAGTATCTGTGTAGGTTCATTTTTCCTTAAATGCATATGTCATAAGAGCTTTTGAAACTTCTGTTGGTCACTGAGTGTAGCATGGCTGTGGATTGTGACAATAAAGATATCTGAGATTTCTTCACTGGTGCTCTAAAGCAAACTCATTGTAATGACCAAATGCTAGTCTTTTGATATGAACGCAGGGAACGAACCAATAAAACTGAGTCAGTACGAAACTCACGACCTACTGCGTTGTTATGTGTCGTTTGACAAACCACAGCAAATCACACACAATCAAATATTATATTCCCACAGTATCTAAACGCAACTTAATATGATAAATTCAGTGGTAATGTTAAACAATTAGGAATAAAAGTCAGGCAAACACAAAGGTAACCCATAAAGTCTAGGTCAAAATAGTTGGAAAATGTCAAAACAATGATGTAAAGGTCAGAGGTAAAGGATAATTCTTACAAATAGTAGTGGAAATACTCAAATAAATAGAAACGTTCCCCAGAAGAGATTGCTAGATTATTTGTCGTGCTATACTGAAAATAAATAGGTCGGACTATATCTTTTGAGAAAGGATAAGCAACGAGGCGAATTGGGCTTTTATATGGACCAACCTCGTGGATACCTCGGATGCCCAGAAGATTGGAGGCTGAAGAGTGAGGGCCATCAGCACCGAAAAATCTTGAGTCTCAGCCGTTGTAAAGTAATCAGATAGCATTAAGTTAAGTATGAAAAAAATTGAGAAGTAGGGTTAGACATCACAAAATTCATGCTGTTCCGAATTGCAAGAAAAAATGCTGGACACAGTGCAATGGCAGCATACCAAGAAAGACACTCCGGCTAATCCCTGGTATCTGGAATTTAATTCCAAGTAAAACGCTATAATGGAGCTGTTTCAGAATTCATACCCGTCGTTTTCTGTGGGGACACTTAGATGCTCGATGTTTAGGGACAAAAGTACTTAGGAATTACTGCAAGCTATCATTTTTGATCGAGCTGCGGCAAAGTCTTTTCGAATACTATGGGTTCTTCGAACAGCTTTCAAACAATTAGACCAGTGTATTCTCCGAGTACTCTGTACATCGTATGTCAGACCTCACCTAGAATACTGCATAGAAGCAGTATGTCCATGCTTCAAGATTAGGACACGTATCTTGGAAAGAGTATAGAGTGTAGGAACCAAATCAGTCACACCTTGCTTATGATAAGAGGATGGAGCATTTAAATCTCTTCCAATTATCATACCGAAGGAGGAGAGTCGAACTAATTTTACCATCCCGTATATTAAAAGATGAATTAGGGAATGACCTTTGAAATCTTTTCTCTCCCTTTAGGGTACATTTACGAGGCCACCACAAGAAGGTGATCAAACCAAGGTCGAATAAAATACGTGTGGAATTCAGATTCTCTCACCGAGAAGTCAACGACTGGAACTCCTTACCAGATTTAATAGCACCAGCTCCATCGGTAAACGCTTTCAAAGGAAGATAAAATCTCTGCTGAGATATATATCGTGAGGATTAACATAGGCAACAAGAGCCTTCTGTCCTTATAATCTGAATCTGGATGTTGAATTTAGCACTTTTTTGATTCGTGCGTTACTTTCTTCTTAAAACGTCTTTTAAGGAGTCTTTGGCGTTTCGGATTCCCATACTGTTCTGCATCGTCGCTCATACTGTACTGTCTGTATTTAAATATATATTTCAGTGTAAGTTTATTCCGTGTAACTTTCTCTAGGCTGCATTTCTCAGCAGTCAAATGCTTGGTGAATTAATGTAGTTGATTTGTTTAGACGGAAACACTTCTCTAAGTCACTGTAACAAGCGGTTGTTTTTTAAAGACAAATAGATTTCTGAAAGAGTGACAGTCAGTTAAAGTCCATTAATAGGCTTATTAGAATGGCATTCGAATGCTCCATCAATGGAATTCTTTCACTTTCATCTATGCAAGGGCATAGGGTTTTTGTTTTTACGCGGTGTTTGTATCGTATTTGTATTTATATCAGCTAATAAATGTGACAACTTACGAAGTATGTGTTAAACTGGGATTCTGATTCGCCGTGTATTTTGATTACTGCTGTTCATTCACAAACATACATATTTGTACACTTAGTACTATTAGCAGTTCTAGAACTTATACTTCGAGAAGGCAGACGAAAGGAAGAAAGAACAATGCATTAAAAGAAGAGTCAGAAATCGTGTAAGCGAGACAGTAGTTGTAGTCATAGTGTAAATTTTCAAAAGCTAGGCATTAGTAACAGTTGATTTTATTTGAGCCATTCTCAATAGTCTTGGGCTAACTTAATCTGCTGCAGCCACTGCGACTGACCTTGCAGCTGGCTTTGGGAAACTTTGAGAATTAAGGGGCACTAAAAGTCGCAAAGCTGTTGGGAAGATGGCTTTACAAAATGGTGCTCTGAATCCGTGAATGTTTCCGATTCTTTCCTTTTTCTACCCCCAAATCCCAATTCTTCCAAAAGACCAGTTATTCTGTCAAGCTTCCGTAGCAAATGCACGGCATAGTAACTCCTATTAATCCATCATTCGCACTAATGAAATCAACGGTCTTCGGGGAAGTCGTCAGGCAAATGCAGTTATGTGAATCGGTTATAGAAACTAATTTGAGTGACCTTTGGTAACGTATCAGGGTAACTGCTATGGTTTAACTTCTCCTTGTCGTGAGCTTTGTTTTTAGTGGTCGTTAACTATGTTCTTAGCATACGTAGAAGCTCAGCAATGTCTTATGCACCTTCGTAGGTGGCTCAAATCAGCACACTAAGACTGCCTGAATTATTGCCATCTTTTAACTTTCCAACCTGGTTCTCTTTCACCTGGTCGGTGCAGATGGTAGCTTGATTTGCGTAACACATATTTGGTAGTTACTTAAACTTACCTTGATATTCGCAATAGCACTGTTACTGTTAGTCGGAAAGTCTGTTTATTTAAATTGTTGCGCATGCTAATGGGTTTTTGACACGGGATTTCCAACCATATATTGAAAAGTAGGGGATCATAACAGTCCACCTCTTTTGTCATCACGGTGTTATCCTCGTGAACAGAGATTCTCACAATACCCTTCCCATCCTAAGCTAGGTGTTATCTTTAGAAGTTGATATTAGTGCCGAAGACTAAACATTGCCAGCTGAAAATAAAATTGTGAGGCATCTACGACACCTATTCTTGCAGGAATACACTGATGAAATCACAGTCAGGAATATTAGACCGATTGGGTCACGGACCACAAAATTAAATGGGCGCATAAAAATACGCAAGCTAGGTGCGGTCGTAAGACCCATACTGCTAATGGCAAATTCACCGTACCACAAATTAGCACAGTGGCTATGTGAATTACTGCAGCCTCTACGAAAACACTGGTACATTGTTTCTGATTCAGGATCTCGATGTAACTGTGTAGAGTAGCCAACAATGAAACTGAGGAAATTGTTACTTTTATGTACTGAAAGTATCCAATTTCAACTGTATAGGCGTCTATTCCATCAAGTTGGTGATGTCGCAGTGTCCCTTGGGTCCATTGTTTGCAGATTTATTCTTGTCGGGCCTAGAAGCCAGTATTTTGCGACAGAATATACAGCAAACGTAATTATATATAAGATAATTGGATGGTATTTTTATTGTCTGTGGAAATAAGTCAAAAGCGGCAAAGTTATTGGTAAAATTCAATACATTTCATCCGAATCTTAACTTCGTAACAGAAAACGAGGAGAGTAATTCCATCAAATTTCTAAATGTTTTTCCAGAGAAATGGACTGATGGCACAATGAAAAGGTTTGTATTAAGAAAGTTTTCATGAACGGGACAGTATAAACATTTTAAAAGCTTTGTTCCAATCCAGTATGAAAAGAACTTGGTCAGAACATTGTCCATAAGACCACGCAAAACTTGTTCTAACTGTACAGTTGAATATGAAATAAAAACTCTGGAGGATATTTTATATAAGAATGGATATGCTGAGAGGTTCACGACTAAATATTCTGAAGAAATAAGCCCTAGTAAATTATCCAAGCCAGGTGAAGACCCTAGCAAAGAACAGAACGCAATGGAGACGCACGGCTGAAGCCCTATGTTCCTGTAGGAATTAAAGGACACAGTAATAATATATAATAAATTATCCAAGCATTTTTACTGAAAACTGGATATTATCAGTTTGCCACTTAGAGGAGGTGATTTACAAGAAGTAGTCAAACGAAGACTTGACAAAGCTACCAGAACTTATTATATTGCAAAACTGGTGTTACCAAGCGACTGCTTCAAAGCTCTGTGAAAGACTGGCCGCCAATCCTTGACATACCTTATTTTATTACTTTATTTTATTATAGCTTGACTCCACACAGTATTTTTGATAAGTATGAAATTTTCAGCATGTGATATCGGTATCCCAAATTTTGCAGGCCGACCATTGATATCGGGTGTGCGTTGGCCGGGGATCGAACCCCGGACCACGTGCATGGTCGGCGAGCGTCCTAACCGCTGTGCTACCGACACAGGTGTGTCTCTAGAAACAAATACCTATATGCTATGAAAAGGCGTTTGTCTACTCGCATGATGGAACATTTGCCAAGGTGGTTGGAAACAGCTGAAGTCAAAGTACAAAACAGTTGAATAACAAAGCGTCTTCTAGACTAATGACATGATATTGATGTTGTCAAGTGACTCACTGTTGTCAGAAGACAAACAAACAGGAAGATGCTTGCAGCTGCAGAGACTTGTGCAATTAGAGTTTATAATTCCGGTCTGTGTACGGAAGGAAATGATGGTCACTCAGAATCCATCATGTTAATGTATCATACTTATTGAATGTTATTTTCTCTTATTATTCTGTATTTATTCTATCTCTTAATATTATTCTTGATCAATTTAAAACTATTTATCAGTACCATTATCTTAACTCATTTTATAACTGCTAGTGTTATTATTATTATTATTATTACAATCCCAATGATCAACATTATCCAGTTTGCTATTCTTGATATATTCCAGTTCTTTCTCTGATAACTAATTTCTATTCAGGTGATGTAACTGGACCGTAATGAATTATAATCATCATCTTAATTTTAATCTCCCAATTTCCCTCTTATCTATCTGATCATGACCTGACAAACATTCACACCTGTCGTTTTGGGTGTTTGATTCAGTGTAGTTTATCTACTTATCAGCCTTATTTCTCCCAATGTTATTCTAATGGTATATATATATGTTTTCAGCTGAAGAGCTCCACCGAAATTTGACGAATTCATTATATCCTGCTTTATTAACATTTGTTGCTTGTTTCGAATATTAAGAAAGACAAATACGTAGTTTATCATCGTTATTTGCGATAATTCGTTTCATCATGGGAAAATAATCAAGTGTGAAACTGGATGTTGGTTGAATAAAATAACAATTTCGACTTTTAAAGTACCTCTGTTTGAAGTTCCTACGACGCACCAAAGTTTGATGTTTTTTTCTAACGAGTGTTAATTAGTGTTTACACAGAGCTAGGAGTTTCACTTTGCTGTCCAAAGGCAAGCTGGTAAATCGGCTGTTGGAGCTTTTACTTTATGTGAGAGAATGAACAGCCAGTATTTGTTTCAATGTTTCTGTAAAATTATGAAATAACAGTTATCAAACTGTGAAATGTTGTCTCTGGGCTGATTTATGTAGACTAAAATTTAGACTCAGAAAGCTGTGGTTGAAATCAATTTATAAAGCCAGTCAACCATGCTTTCATGATACTATCTATCCGGTATGTAAAAAATATACGTTTATATTTATTATCAGATGACAAACTCAAATGTTCTCTAGGTAACATTTGTTAAATTGGCTAAATACTCTTTGAATCACAAGGCGTTGATTATGTGGTGTGAAGTGACTATGATGTATTTTTCTGGACATGTGAATCAATGAATAGTTTTAAAAGCCAAACCGAAAAGTTAATAAGTAGATTAGAAAGGTAGTCACTTTCGTACTGTTTTTCATATCATTCAATGGAGTAGGGCAATACATGATTTAGTGTATCCAGAAAATTCTATACAGTTAGGGTTAAGTTTTCCACACAGTATATTTAGTACAGCTTTTCCTTTTACTGTAATATTATGAAAAATCCAACATAGAGTTTTTGCGGCTGATTATTTAATTAATGTAAAAGTTGCATATATTTGTGGGTTTCAAAAAGTTATTTAATTATTTGTTTATCTACCGTAATTTCTTATTTTACCCACTGATAGTTACACAAACATAGTTTCTAAATGTGCATCCTGGACTTTTGTGCTAACGATTTATAATATTTACGTTTACCTGCAGCGATAGTATTTCCAATACGTACTGCAGTTGTCATAGTTGTTTCGGATCAACAACAGCCCATCAATTCGATATATTTTCTTACTTTTATCTCAAGGGCTTTGTGTAGCTAAAGTCATGACCTGTTTGTTGGCTTATATGCACAAACTTGAAAGAGGGGCACTGTGGTAGAGCATAACTCCATTATGGATAAGATTTTATTTTGATAAATCACACAGTGTTGTACAGTAATATTAACTGATGACGTTTCGAGCATAAACTATTGCTCATAATCATGGGCAGTAGTTTATGCTCGAAACGTCATCAGTTAATATTACTGTACAACACTGTGTGATTTATCAAAATAAAATCTTATCCATAATGGAGTTAAACTTGAAACAGTTGGCCGTAGTACATCAAATACCACCATAAAGTTATGTTTTAGCTTGCTGTAAGTGATTCAGTTATATTAAAATGAACGCTATTTCTTGGTATGTAACTAAACATTTCAAAATTTTTCTATCAGAGAGAATATTTCCAGCTAATCTTCGTGTTTAATGTACAACGGTAATTTTAATTCTATAAATATTACTAGTGTAGTGACTAGAATGGGCCCTTTTCATATCACTACAAACAGACATTCTAATACATTATATCTTTTTATCAGTTCCTCTATTATGTGGAACCATTTTCCTACATTCACTGTTATGAGAAGTCTCCGTCTAGGAATGACATGTGGGTGTGTATAGTAAGCTGTGAATCAAGTCTGCAACAGTTAGCACTAATACTTAACGGCGCAAATACCAGTGGACCAAAGTTCTAGTCCACACAGCACTGATTAACAATCTTGTATTTTGGATAGCTTCTGCAGTGTCGATTAAAGTGTCTTTGCGGATGTAAGTATTTCTTTTCAAGAGATTATCAGAACTTTTTCACTTTAGAAACACCAACTTCAAAATTTTGTTTGCATACCGTTAACTATATGTTTCAAAAGTAAATAATGTGGTTAATGATTGGAAATTTATGGATTAATTTTGATTTGCATTTTAAAGTAATCAGTTTCATTTCGATTCTTTTGTTTTTGTAGAATGAAGCCAGCAGCAATGAAAAAATTTAGTACTAGTCACTCTTCGCCACTCGCACCTAATGAGCCAGGAACACCTAAGAGATCAGTACCTGGTCCGACTTCCCCTCTACATTTCTTGGATCTCTTGTTGTTCTCAACCCTTCGAAGACCGATTTTTGTTGATCCTGCAATTAAAGCTGGAGTATATCTTTGTTTGGCAGCTGGTGTTTCTCTTATATTCGATTTCATAAGGGCTCCACCAACCTACTTTTCTAACAAACAAAATCCATTTAACAAGTTTTTCGTCAAGTTAGGATGGGCTTGGACGTGTGGTTGCCTTGCAGCCTTTGTAATTGTTTCCTCTTTTGTGTATACGGGTGGCAACGTCAGACTTATGCGTGCACACATTCTACGTTTAGCTGTTGGTTCTGGATGTTGGTATAGCGGTACTGGCCTTATAAATTTAATTCACGACTGGACAGGGCATTGTCATCCAGCGTCAGTAACCCTTGCCAGTGGACTCCGTCCTACTCAAAGAATGTCATGTCAGAGAGCTGGGGGTATTTGGCTAGGATTTGATATATCAGGTCATTGTTTTCTGTTGGTGCTTTCTAATTTATGGATTATGGAGGAACTAAGCTGCATGCAACACTGGAGTAAGTTATCGGATATCTTGCAACCAAATAAGTGCAATGATTCAAATCAATCGCTTAATCTTAGCGCTACTAGACATATTCCTGAGCAACAGCTCAACATAATGCGTTCAGCGTATCGAAGATTGACGACCATTGTACGCCTCATATTTTCATTCACTGCCTGCCTATCCATGCTTTGGGATATTATGTTCCTTTCAACGGTTATATATTTTCACACAATGCCGTCAAAACTGTTAGGAACAGCGCTTGCTGTGGCCTGTTGGTTCCTGTTTTATCGAGTCATTTTCTGTAGTTGTGCAACTGGATCCTGGGGTGGTTTTGCTCCTGGCATACCTGGTGATGGTCCAATAAAATTTGCATCCAGTTAATTATTCTCATGAAATACTAATAGCTTTTGTGTAAAATTCATTTAACCAAGCATAACTGATGTCTAACTTCATGAAGCATGTAATTCTTCTGTCAATTGTTACATGTATTGACTGATGTATTGGTTATCAAAGGATGTTTGGAATAATTCATAATGTGATGCAATTTTCTCAGTACTTTAAAATGAAAATGTATTTGCATCTAATTTCCTCACTTCCTTTTTCATAAGTTCAATGTCCATTGACTTGGAACCATTTATATTAGCATTGTTAAAGAAAACAACTGTATCTATTAGCATACATTTACCCATTAAAATATGCTTTTCAATTTGAATATGTAAAGTCTACTATAATCTCTTTATAAATTTAACCTTCCTAATGATGCATAGTCTTTTTGATAAAAAAAGTGCTCATAGTATGTCTCTACAGGAATTCAGTACTAGTCATTAATGGTATGAAGTAAATTAAGACGTTCTTATTATAAAGGTCTTATTGATAATCTGTAAAAATGTGACATAGGTAATATTTGAGGCAGGAAAGACAATGTGTTGGGACAAGAAATAAAATTTTCTGATGACAGTAGCTAATCGATTTTAATTTTTCCCTACTTTGGTCTGTGCAAACAAGTATTATCGTCAGCTCGCGTACTTCAAGTGTGACTCATAGTCTATTACATAAAATAATGCACGTAGTAGGTAGATAAATTATTCGTCTTTATGATTATATAGATGTACGTATACCTAGACTGCTGAAATTCAAATATAAAAATGTGTTAATCCCTAAGGAAGTAAATAGATGGTGAAAATGAGACTTTAGAAACTTATATTTAATACATATGTGTGCTAGGTTGTTATCTGCCTGAAGCAACTGGATTTTCAACGTTAAACTTTACAAAAAATCAGTAGTTCAAGTTACCACACTTGATAAAAGCACAGATGAGGGTAGGAAAAACTAAATCTAAATAGACTATAATGAACAGAAATGTGTAGGAGATAGAATACTTTTATGGGAAATAACAAGGATTCAATGGTTTTGGGAGATCACGAACGGTGAATGCATCTGCGCCATGAAGAACAGTTTTGGGCTATATCACCAACAGCCTTCCGTCATTGATTCTTAGCGTCTTGAGGACCGCAGTCACACAATATACACCTTTCTATATGTCCCAAGTCAACAATCAAATACTGGTTCTATGTTTCCGTTTGACCACCTCTAACTGTCTTCCAACCCGGGAAAGCGATAGATCGACATGCGAAGTTATCTAGGTTGATGCAACTTCACAATCACATCGACTAACTTTTCCTGCTTACCTGTTACTATGACCAACCTCATTATTACTTATGATATTATGTTACCTAACTCGAGATATAAAACATAGGTACCTATGGTTGAAGACAATATAGCCTCACTTTCAGCGGATACTATTTACACTTCACGTATGAAGGATTTTGATACCACCTGGTTGTCCAAAATAAAGTGGGTTTGATGTGAAATTCAAGGTCCATTCACTGGATGTCAAATGCTTGAACTGATGTGTCGTTTTATTGGCTAAATGAAACCATAACTTTAAAGACTAGTGTAATGTATTCGTCGTCGTAGTAGCAGTATGCTTATACAACTTGGAGTTTAAAAGAACAGAGTTAGTTTTCTTAATAAATAATTAGGAACCTGAGGCATTATGGAATATACATGTTTGGTGTCCAGTCTGTAGTAAATGTAACTGAATAGAGCCAATGGCAGTCTTTACTCTCGCTTTGATTCATTTCATAAGATTTTACTTGCACATATGCTTACGTTATACTGACACTTAGCTGATTATCTTAAGTTTCCTTACTACAATTTAAAACACTTCGAACAAGATAGCCGAACTGCTTTTTTTCCCTTCACGTTCCCCCAGTGGAACATAGGGCTTCAAGCTAGTGGCTTGAAGTTTCTGTAGCAGTGCTTATTTTGCAGGGTGGGGTTGCTAGCCTCATGCCCAACCTTTCCTCTTCACCAGCATTATTTCTGGCTTAGCGAGGTAAAGGAGTGCGTCGGCCGGGGATCGAACCCCGGCGAGCGTCCTAACCGCTATGCCACCGACGCAGCAGCCGAACTGCTTTAGTGTGTTGTTAATTCGAGGATTGGAATCTATCTAAACAATGTCCAGTAGTTTTTAATAATTTACAACTCAATGAACTTTTCTGTACTAGGCGGTAGTTCTAATATGGGGAAACAACATAGAAATTGCTAAAAATAATTAATTTTTGGAAGATATATTTTATTATTATTATTGTTCCTTTGGATTCCTAGTGGAACATAGGGCTTCAACTGCACGTCTCCATTGCTTCTGTCTTCTGCTATACTTTTCACTTGCATTCATGTTAGTCCATACTGTTTCAACTCTTCTTCACACGATCTCCTCCATGTCACCCTTGGACGTCCCACTCGCCGCTTCCCTTTCGGGTTCCACTCGAGCACTGGCCTGACGCGCAATGTCACCCGGCGGCCTCCTCAGCGAGTGTCCAATCCATCTCCACTTTCTCCTGCATATTTGTTGGGCGATTGGTTCTTGTTTTGTTTGTTCCCATAGTTTCTCGCCTAGATTACTAGCTCGCTAGTTTTCTAGCCGGTCCCAAGCCCGGATAAAGAGAGAGGGTTAGGGCGTGGTGCCAGCAACTCCACCCCGAAAACTTAACCAAATTGCTACAGAAACTTCAACGCATAAGTATATTAAAAATACTAGGGAGTGGCCATCATGATGTCACCAACATCAACCAAAGCTCTCATGCAGTAGGAGCCAATCTCCCCTAGGATAATGACAGCTAGGTTCAACTCGAAAGGAAGGAAGCTTGAAATCATTCAATGCTATGTGCCTACAAACATCTCAGAACGAGATATATTTTACGAATATTATACTGATGAATGAAGTATTGCGTGTAAACTGTGAAAACTTGACTTAAAAATGAATTTACTCATTGATAAGTCAGATGTTGTTTTTATCCTGTAATGTCATTCTCACAATATTTTAGTAATTAATACGTATCTACTAGACAGATATTATATGAAACAAATGCTAACTTTAGAAATATACGGTGTTGAATAGCCTGGCTGTTGCATATACCTTACACGTAAAATCCTTCCTAACTTCAACTTCTTCACTTTGTTTTACCTAACACGCCCAGGAGTGCAAATACTTTGTTCAAGGAGATTTACTGGTGACCACAAGGATTTCAAGGGCATCTTTTAAAGCTACCAAATATCACTAGGGTATAATTTCTGAAAGCAGTCTGTTACCTTCTTAACTAATCTCTCAACAAAAAAATCTAGGGATGATTTCTTAAAAAGGCTTATGTGGTTAGCGCAGAATATGCAGAAAGTGCCACCACTTTTATTTATTTAGTAACGGTGGTATGAATGAATACAGTAAATGATTATGAAAGCTTTTGTGATGCTGTTATTACGATTATATTATGTCAGGACGTTTCCAACAAAAATTGCTATCATGCTTGTTCAGTCGGATGCCAAAGGAGTTCTGATACCACTTTTGTTTCTACAGTAGAACTAGTTTCACTATGGAGGAAGAGTAAGGTTCTTATCAGCGTTTCAGTATCATATATATATATATATATATATATATATATATATATATATATATGGCTAATGATGTAGGCGTGAGTGAAGTTAACCATGAAAGGATAGTCGATTGTTTACCTGTCTGCATATTAAAATGTAATAATAAAAAAAACTACTTTAGCTGACGATAGGGATGAAAATTACTTCATTATCTCTGAAACTGGCTTGTCGGTATCTCTCATAGCTTTCTTAAAAGGTTTTGGTGAAGTTAAAGCCTACAATGTCAGCAAACTTGTTGGTTGAACATTCACATTTAATGTCAGAGGGTAAAAAGAACAAAGCAATTTCCAATTGTCGATTCGAAGCGTATTTAGTGAAAGAAACAGTAATGAAGAAGTGAATACGATTAAATGGGTCAATTTTACTTCATCAGTATCATGCCAACTGATAACACCCTGAGTGATGAGAGTGAATAGTTTTAGTACAATTCTCATATACTCTTTTGATATAAAGGAGAAGATTTGGTGCTCAGGTAGATGAATTCAATCTCACATCCTATAATTTTCAGCAAAAAGCAATATGGATTGGTGCTTAGTTGAATCGTAATGTTAAGTTGGTAAAGCATAATTAATTGCTACAACTGCCTGTCTGAATTTAACTGACTGTATTTCTGCATATGCTCCAACGTTGTACGTAATCTTACATCTTACTGCTACTTCTGCCTTTCCTCAAGTGATATCGATTACAATACATTACAGTTTATATCGGTTGAACTAAGAGAAAATAGCACCATACTCCAAGTCGTTTACATTATGTTGAGGGTCCGAGGTCAAAGCCACATTGCTGGTGAGTAGAGATGTTTTTCTAAAGTCAATTCCTGGAACACCACTGACGGACTCATTTCAACGTAGAACTTTGCACAAATATGTAGCAGTTCTAGGTGTCACACTCCATGTTTTGCACCAAGCAAGACAAGAGAGTAAAGACAGATATAATAAACAGAAGTGTGAGGCGAAAAGAATAGTAATATGGAAGGACAATGGCCTTTTATTGGATATTATAAATCGCAAAGTGAATGCATCTGCGCTGTGCATAGAGAACGATTTTGAGCCATACCACTGATTGTTTCCAGTCATTGGTTTTCACCATCTCGAGGACGCCAGCAAGAAATCTGACAACTCCCTACGTCAGTGGTTTAAACTAACTCTTGTGAATTTGATTGGCTGATGAAGCCATGTTTCGGTTAGACCACCACTGACTCTTTTCTAAACTGATCCTATGTCAGCTAACATCGCCCGTCGAGGAAGACGATGATCAGGCATGTACAACGCATGTCCTGACCATCTCAATCTATGTTGCTTCACAATATCGTCGGTTGATTTTCCCTCCTTACCTAGCCTTCGATTATTATTATTATTGTCTCCTTTAGTTCCTAGAGGAACATAGGGCTTCAGCCGTGCGTCTCCATTGCGTTCGGTTCTCTGCTAACGTTTTCACCCAGCTCCAAGTTTGCTCACATGCTTTCATCTCCTCTTCACATGACCACCTCAATGTCACTCTCGCACTGACGACCAACTCGCCGCTTCTCATTCGGGTTCCACTCAAGTGACGGCCTCGCGTGTGATGTCAGTTGATGGTTTCCTCAAAGTATGGGCAATCCACCTCCATTTCTTTCTGCTTATTTGTTGCACAATTGGTCCCTGGTTGGTTCGCTCCCGGAGATCCCATCCTGTTGTTGATCTTTCCTGGCCGGCCATCTGCTCTTGGGTATTGAGTGAATACAGCTGTTGATGAAGGTCTGTGGTTTGTTTGAGGTGCTCTTCATG